TTGACAAACATTTAATGAGCACCTACTATGCACCAGACCCTATGCAGGGCGCTAGGAAAATGAAGTCAATGCAATCCAGCCCTTGCCCGGAAGGAGCTCACAGTCTAGCAGTCAGTCACCATCAGTCATAATTAACATCTGCGTAGGTGCACTTAGCTTCACAATGGTACAACGAGGTTTTATGTAAGTTCTCCCAATTGTAAATACCCAGCAACACAGCCACGTTGTTTTAAAAGCACATTGGCATAAATGTAAACAATTTCACATGATTGAACAGACGGACAGCAACCACCTGCAGTAATTCATGTCTGTGTTTCAGAACCAGACTTTCAGCATTATTTATACCTTCCTGTTAGGCAGGATAAAGTTTTGCCAATTTGCAAAAACAGTGGCAGAGACACAGGGGCGTTCCATGGCCCCCTGATGTCATGCACTGGTGGGGCCACCCTAGACTCAAGGGGTCCTGAATGCTCGCCCACTTTTCCTCTACCGCACCACACATCTTCTGGTCTACCCTGGACGAGGGCCCCACACATCGTTGGGCTCTCCCACCCGAGTTTGTCAGATGGCAAGAAAGCACCATGTCCCATATGCCAACCATGCTGTGAGATCACTCACACCGGATTGGGCCCATGGGTGACACCAGCTCAGTCAGGCATGCAGCAGAGTGTTTAAGTGCAGATCCTTCCTGATTTAGGGACCAGCTTTCCAGTCAATCTCAAAACTTGGCTGGGTCAGTGTTGTATAGGAACAACTGGCCTGCGCGTCCCGCTTCCGCCCCACCTCTCCCTGAATGCACGGCATCCATCAGGAGCGGTGAAGCAGTCCAGGTGCAGAGGGTGGACTGCCCAATTTATCCCGCTCACCCCTGGATTCTAAATGGGACAGTTTGGGACCTGAGATGGAGCTCCCTGTGCCTCTCGAGAGCCCCCACCACCAAAAAATGAAACATAATCCTACACAGATCTGCCCTGTGATGGTTAGTTCAGGAGAGTAAGGGGTAAGGAATCTTGGTGAAGAGACCCAAAGTGGACCATCTCCTGGTCTGGAGAAGGGGAAAGCAGCCAAAGACTTGGGTGTAATTAAGCCAAGGAGGGGCCGAGCATGCAGAGCCGAAGGTTGGAGGTGGCAGGAAGGCCGGTGTTCAGGACCCAAGTGCCTGCCTCCCTTTCCTGGGGCTGGGAGAGGAGGCATCTCTCCCGACACCCTGGCCACAACCCGCACACTTTGGAAAGGTCATAAAGTCTCAGCTCCTAAGGTCCCCTACTGTAGCCTGTCTTGGACACACAGGGGGCCCTACCAAGTGAGTCAGAAAGTGCATGTTAAAGAAAAGGTGTTTCTGATCCCATCTGGAGGGCAGGTCATGGGTGGAGGTGCATGGGGGGAAGGGGTGACCCTCCGTGACTGAGGCCAACTTGGCCTCAGTCCACTGGCCCACAAAGCCTTGCCCTGGCCCTGCTCCAGCCTCTGGGGTGGAGGCTTTTGGGCTCCCACCCAGGACCACCTCTCAGCCCTCCTGCCCCTCAAGGTTGCTCCAGGAGGCTGGATATCCTGCTAGGAAGCCCCATCCCTCAATGATGGCCCAGACAAAACTTTCTTCATAAAAAAAATAATTTATTGTCAACAAAGGAGGTATATACAACAGGAAAAGAGGTGAACAGGAGAGTAGGGGTGAACGAGCCCCCCAGGTAGGCTGCTTCAGCCACCTGTGGGGATGGAGTGGGAAGAGGTAATGGAGGCCTCCTGGTCCAGGAGCCTGAACAGGTGGGGGAGGAGAGGCGTCCCCCGAGGTAGTGGGACTCAGTTCAACCCCGTTGCGACCACCTCTTGTGTAAGGCACTGTGCCAAGGGAGAATGGGAGGGGGCTAACAGGGTGGGAGGTGGTGGGGGGAGGGGGACAGAGGTCTGGGTCAGCAAAAGAATCGGGTGGGTGTTCTCCACAGGCCCAATGCCCTACTGCACAACAGCCCCCAGCGTCCTCTGCCCCCCTCAGGGTCTGGCCTCAAGCCTCCCTAAGGGGAGACATTTTCCAGCATCCCCAAGTCACAGCAGATGCCACCCGCCCTCCTCTCCTCCATCCTGCCTTGGCACCTGGTTTTACTCTCTCCATCAGATGGCCGAGCTGGGCAGCTCTGAACGATAGGCCGAAGGGGGACACTGCCTCCTCCCTCCCTCCCTCCCACCCCAGAAAAACAAGAACCTATACATCACTCCCTGCCTCTGGCTGCCCCCCGACAGCAGTGCTGGATTCCGACAGAACCACGGGCCAGTCTGGGGCGTCACCTGCTCCCACACCCTTGGTGCCCTGGGGGTGCTTGGACCAATCTTGCAGGAGGCTGACTGCCGGCGGCTCCTCCAACCGCACACGGATAACCTGGAGATCCAGTGTCCCACGGAGCCCCGGAGGGGGAGCTGGGCAGGGATGGGAGCAGAGAGCAGAGTCAGGGCCCTCTGGACAATCCATCTTGAGGATGTTCCCTGAAGGTTTCTGCACCCCCATTTCCAAGCCTTCAATTCCATAGCCCAGTAATTCTGATCTGAGGGGAAGTCCAGGGACAGTGGGATAATCTGCTCCTGGTTCACCCAAGGACCAGCATCTCCCACAAGGCCACACCTCCTCAGGGATCAGCCGCAGGCCCCCTGTAGCCTTCCTCCCTCCCGTGTGTATTCCGGCACATGGATGCTCAGTGTTTCACTCCTTTCCCCTCATCTTTCAGCTGATTCCATCCCATCTAGAACTTAACTGGGCATCCTAGCCTGATGGGTTCTGCCCCGTGTAGGCAGAGGTGGCGGGCGAGGAACACCCCAAAGCAGAAAAAGACATGGCTTGGCCCGCAACTGAGCTCCCAGGTGAATCTGCAGGGTGGAGGAGCGAGCTCTGGACAGAGTCCTTGGTTAGCATCCCAGCTCTGCTTTGCAACCTCGACCAAGCTCTTCATCTCCTGAGTCAAAACCTACCATGCGGGGGACAGCCACCTCAGCAGTGTGGACAAGCTACTCAGAAAGGCCAAAACCGGGCCTCAAGACAGTGGAGTGAGGACTGCCAAAAGCCACTGGGCAGCTACCAAAATGTCCCCTGCAATACGGCACATGCAGAAGTGACATGAAGAGCAAAACCAAAACATGACGATTGCCACTCTTGCGGTGTCATTGTTTGTGGCTTTCTTCTGTGCTGTTTTGAGAGACACAGTAATTTTAAATGTGGCAGAGAAAACAGCTACAATTATTTTGCTGTACCGTTTGCTAGGGTTTAAAATGACTCGACAGCCGCCACTTGGTTGTGCAACTGAACAAATCCTGCTTTGTATTCACGTGAGCTGGTCCGTCTCCCTGACAAACTCCGAACTCCTTGAAGACAGGTGATCCCTCACATTCACTCTTAATTCAACAAAGACTTATTAGGCAACCATACTGTGCCCAGAGCTACTCCAGCTGCAAGGGGTACAGCAGTACCTGGAGGAAACCACGTGGCCTTCTTGGAACTTTCGTTCCAGTGGTGAAAGCCAATAAACGGAATACACAAAAAAATCCGATGTGATATATATAAACAGAAGCAAAGCCAAAAAGTACACCAGGGACAGGGACACAGTAGCAGGGAGGGCCTCACGGAGCTGACACGTGAGCAAAGACGTACAGGAAGTGAGGAGTCAGCGGTGTGTCTAGCTGGGAGAATGTTCCTGGCAGGAGGCAGGGCAAATGCAGATGCCCCGGTGGGGTGGGAGAGGTAAAGACCCTGGGGTGAGGATCGCCAGTCCCCACAAGGACTGGTTTTTATCTGGAGTGTGAAGGTGACAGCACTGGAGGCTCTGAGCAGAGCAGTGACAGGGTCCCACGTGTGTCTTCAACAGGGACATCACCTGCTGTATGGGACCGATCACAGCGGGCAAAGATTAGAAGCTGGGAGACAAGTGGGAAGATTGTTAAGGAAGCTGGGACTAAGGCAGCAGCATTAGAAGGAGTGACAGGAGTGGATTCTGAGCCTTTTGGAGGTGGGGCTAATGGGATTTGCTGACGGACCAATTAGAGACATGGAAAAGGATGACTCTGAGGGTTTGGCCTAAGCAAACTGAAGAACTGGGCTTAGCTTCCTGGGAAAGGGAAGACTGGGGAGAAGTAGAGTGGCTGGGGGTGAGGGTAGAACACTGGGCTTCTGTTCAGAAACGCCGAGCTTGAGAGATCTCGTAGACAACCAGCTAGGCACGTCACATGGGCAATGAACCGAGGGGAGAGGTGGGATTGTGAGCTTACGAATGATACTTCAAGCTGTGAGCCTGGAAGGGGTCACCCAGGGCATGAGTACAGATCATGACCATGGTTAGTCATTCATTCAATCCATAAATGGCCCCTATTCTGTGCTGGGCTCAGGGGTTATCACAGCAAAGAAACAGGCAAACATTTCCTTTGCCAAAGGAGCTTATATTCTAGAAACACTAAGAAAGACAACCAGAGGATCCAACTCGGGGAGCTGGGAATGAACCAACAAGAGAAATGAAGAGCCAGCGAGGCAGGAGCACACCAGGCACGCTGCTGCCCGAGAAGCCAAGCGCAGAAAGTGTCTCTAGGAAGGAAGGAGGGATGGGTTCCTTGTTCCTGCCAGGTAGGAAAGATGAGGGCTGAGAATTAACCACTGGAGCTAACTTTATGGAAGTCAATGGTGGTCTCGTCAAGAAAGCCATTTTAGTGTGGGGTGGTGAGCTTGACTCAAGTGGCTTCCAAAGACAGACTAGAGGCATTTAGTCTAGAAAATGCCTTCCAGTTTTGCTGAAAATGTTTGGGGGCAATGGGACAGTGGCTGGGAAGGGATGAGGGGTGAAAAAGGGAGAAATGACACCTGTGTGCAGGCTGATGGGGAAAACCCAGAGGAAAGAACAACTCATGGTGACAGAGAACAGATTCTTGGCACTCACCACGGGCGGGGCGTCCGCATGGGCTGCCACTCACTGGCCAGGCGGCCCGGGAAGGTACTGCACCTCCCCAAGCCTCAGTTTCCTCTTCTGTAAAATGGACATCATAATACTTTATAAGGTGGTTGTGTGGATTTCAGGAAATTACATATTAGAAGAGTTCAGTACATTGGAATTAAGTGCCAATTCTTCCTGGCAGCAGGGAGGGCAGAGGGGAGGGTGGCGGGGAGGAGAGCGTCAAGAGAGCGAGGCCTGAGACGTGGTAGAGAGAACTTCTTTCAGAAACAGTGCATGAACAGAGCCCCAGGCCACTGAAAAGCAACCGAGGAGGGCTTATCAGTCCCAGGGACAAGCTGAGTCCCCTTAGCACCCCGACCCTAAAGCTGCCCCCACTTTCCTCCTGGCCCCGCCCAACCCCTCTGCTGCCCCAGCATCACCCCCTCCTCCTCTTCCCCAACACCTGTGCCTGTGCATGGACGTGCACCCACCCTCCCCAGAGCCCACTTCCCTTATTTCTCACTAACGCTTGTCTCTGAGCAGAGACGCTGGAAATGTCACCACCAGAATGACAAGTAAAGGTGGCTACCATCCACTCGTCTGTCAATAAATCGTTCCTGAGGGCTTTCATTGTGCCAGGCCCTATTCTAGGTGCTGAGGATACAGCAGTGAACAGACCCTTCCTCTAGTGAAGCGCGCGCGCGCACACACACACACACACACACAATCTCTCACACTCACTCACTCATCTCACACTTCTTTCTCCTTGGTCCAGCCTGGGAACACACTTGAGTCTGACCAAGGTATCCTAAACCAAACCTCCGGGTCCTACTCAGATTAAACACCAGCAGGACAAAGGTTTTTCCCCCGTGGTGAGGGGCCCTCAGGGCTCGCCCCCTCTGCACCCTGATCCTGTGAGGCCCTTGTGAAGTCCAGCAAGTCTTCCGTGACAATTTCAGATCCATCAGCTCAGCTGACCTGACCACAGTGACTTCTAAATCCTTGATTTTTAAACTTCTTTTTAAAAGTGGTATGATCTTGGGGGGAGGGGATAGCTCAAATGGTAAAGCACATGCTTAGCATGCATGAGGTCCTGGGTTCAATCCCCAGTACCTCTTCTAAAAAATAAATAAACTTAATTACCTTCCCCCTTAGAAAAAAAAACTTAAAAAAAGTGGTAGGATCTTTACTCAAATAAAAGCTTTGGAGAACTTCAATAAACAAGACAACTCAAAGTAGAGATATTCTGGTGAAAGCCTGACAGGTTTCTGAGAAAACTGTCCACGTTTTGGGTTCTAAAATCTTAAATCCGGATAAACAAGGTCCTACTGTGTAGCACAGGGAACTATACTCAATATCCTATAACAAACCACAACAGAAAAGAATACAAAAGAAAAGACATATACATACATACATAAAACTGAACTACTTTGCTACACACCAGAAATGAACACAACACTATAAATCAACTATACTTAGTTAAACAAACAAACAAACTTTAACCCAGTCTGAAACCACTAGTCTGGAGCCTGTGCTCTGCCCAGAGCCATCGCGGGCACCCTATTTGCTGCTTCACTGCCTCTGACCTGTACTCCCAGGCAGACTGAGTTTCTTGGGGACAAAGGCTGCCCCACTCCTGTCATTCCCCGGAGCGCTTCCCATGGGGCCGGGCTGCAGGAACACTTGCTGCTGTGTTACTCAGTACCTCCTGTGGTTTCCAGACCATCTTCAGCCTCGAATTAGCTTGTTGGACTCCAGAGTCTCAGGTTTTGCCCACTCATCCCAAATGAACCGAGATCTCAAGGGCGCCCTTCTCAGCTACCGGTCACTCCAGACAGATGGGGCTCGGGCAAAGGATACCCCAGGGTTTGAAATGAAGGCCCTCTTTTGAGAATGAAAGCAGAAGACCTATTAGCCAACGGAAGAGGTCAGCCTTTTAGAGCAGGGGTCCACTGACGATGTGAGGGGGCTCAGGAAATGCTCAAGCCCAGGCCGAGCACAGTCCTGGGGAGGCAGGACTGGAACGTGACCCAAGCTGAAACCTGAGAGTTAAGACCAAACAGGGGTGAGGTCTGCCTCGGGACTAGAAAAAGCGGAGCCCCTTTTGGTAAAAAGTCAATCAACGAAAGCACATGTGCACATACCCACACACATAGCTTCCTAAAAGTTCCAAAGGACACAAGCCAAATTTTTGACAGTGGTCACCACTGAGTGATGTGGGCTGAAGCGACATGTATGCTTTTTTCTTTTGGCAAAAAGTACACCCTCCTTTTGAGAGCCCCGCTCTGGGGAGCCTCCAGCACCCTGTGTACCATCTTTCTCGGGGCTCCAACTCCAAATGCACATTTCAGACAGGCTGGAACAAGGCATTCTCTGCATCATGCATTCACTCCTTCAAGAACCACTTTCTGAGCCCGCGATGCTGCGAGCAGGGCCTGGTCTGGCGAGACAAAGAGAGGAACCAGGCTCAGCCGCTGCCCTGCTGGAACATAGACCAGTCTCATCTGAATTCTGCTACCACCTGGTTACGTGACTGTGAAGCAGAATATTGGCACCCAAAGATGTCCAGGTCCCAATCCCAGGACCTGGGAATACGGAATGTTACACAGCAAGGGAGAATTAAGGCTACAGATGGAATTGACATTGCTTATCAGGCGACTTTAAAATAAAGAGATGATCTGGATGATCTGGGTGGGCTCAGTGTAGTCACAAGGGTCTTTAATGGAGGCAGAAGAGTCAGAACCAAAGGCAGCATCCTAAGAAAGACTCCGCTGGCCACTGCTGGCTCTGGCGATGGGAGGAGAGCACAAGCCAAGGAACGCGGGCCAGCTGCTAGAAGCTGGAAAAGGCAAGAGTTCCCTGTTCAGGAGCCAGGAAGGAACACGGCCCTGCTGATACCCTGACTGTAGGCCAGTGAGATGGCTTCCAGGCCTCGGACCTCCAGAACTGAAATGCAGTAAATCTGTGTGGCTGTAAAGTCACTGAATTTGTGGTGGCTTGTTACAGCAGCCACAGGAAATGAATACACAGGCAAGGGAGAAAGAACCACGGTTCTGAGACTCAGCCTTACTTTCATAAGGGCCAAATGAACTGCATATAAAGGTTTCTTAAAATTGGAGGACACGATAAAACACAGGTGCTTACTGCTCTTATAAGAGAACACACTCAGCTGCTTTATCCCCGGGGTATCTGCTGAGTTCACCACTGTTCTCCCGTCAGTCGTCCCATTTAGGCCCCTGCTCCACCAGGGTCAAGGTGGGCACCTCAGGCTCCAGCTGGAATCAACCTTAAGTGTGGTGACGGGTGTCAGGCTTTGGGAAGCACTGGCCTGATCCAACCTACAAACCAGGACACTCCCAAGGAGCTCACAGAAAACTTGGCTCTCTGCCAGCCTGTCATTCAAACCCACCTGCCTGTGGCCCCATGGCCCCGTCTCCCAGGGGCCTGGAGCACCAGTCACCTCTATCCTGGGCTCTGCTGCAGACCAGACCCCAGGGATGTGGCCTGCCGACCCTCCACCTGTTGCCCTGTCTCAGGAGCTCACCTGGGGAGGGGCTTTCCGGCTGGAGGAGGCCTCCTTCTGCCCCTCTCCCCTCTTTGGACAAGTCCTTGCTGTCTGAGGCCCTGAGCTGGGTGTGGGAGAAGAGCTGGAGGACGAAGCCGGGGGGAAAGCTGCCATCGGTGAAGTGTCGGACTTCGGGCGGAGCTGCGAAAGTCTCTGCGGGCGAGTCAGGTGAGGGGGGGTCTGGAAGGCGGGAAAGGATGGCACTGTGAGTCCAGAAGGCTGGGCTGCCCCAACCCACGAGGCCAGCTTAGGCCTGGGCCTGCGGCCTCAGGGGAGGTGCAGGTGTCCTCTGTCGCCCACCCAACCCTGCAGCTTTCCTCCTGGAGCGATGCAGCCAGAGCCTACACCTTTCTCCCCTTCACCTGGGTCCGGGTCCGGGTCCAGGTCCAGGGTTTTGGTCACGGGTCTGCCTCTTTTCTTTCTGACTGGCTCGTCCCCAGGGGGCTCCTTCCATCTCTGACCCCGGGGCTTCTTGGTTACTGGCTCCGTGACAGGGGCAGCTGCAAAAGGATGAGACCTTTTTAAGAGGCCTGACTCCTGCAACCTCAGGGCTGCGGAAGGTATCGCTCTCCACCCAGAACTCTGGCCCATGCACCCCCTTCCCCCTAACTCACAGGCTTCAGGCTGACTGACCAGGGAGTTCAAGAGGGCGGAGTCCCCGGGGCCGGCTCCTTCTAGGGAGGGATGGGTTGTCCTCAGAGTCCAGGAGAACAACAATCTCCGCTGGCATTTTGGCAGGGTCGGCATCAGAGTCTGGGTCCACATCAACATCATGTCCTGAGTCTAAAGGGGGCAGATGCCAGTGAGTAACAAGGGTTCTGAGAGACCTGACTTCTCCCTCCACCCTCATCCCACCCTGGCCCCAGGCTGCACTACCTGAGTGGGGTGGGGACGGCTGCTCGGTTCTGAAGTCTTGCAAAAGGGCCACCCCCTCGCTCCAGGCCTCCAGGATGTTGCTCTTCTCAGAAGGGCTCAGGTCCAGGGTGTGAGGATGCTGCTCCAGGATGTGCGAGCGTGCCGTGTCTGCCGAGGGAGCCCGGATCTCCGCCCCACACACCATGCACAGCGCGCGCCCGCTGCCTCGGGGGCTGTTCCCCACCAGGAACTCCTGCTCCCAAGACACCTGCTGCCTGGGCTCCTCACAGCTGTCGCTGCCTGCCTCCAGCAGGCTGGGCCTGGGTGGTGGCGTCTTCTCCTGCTGGGCCACTACGGAGGGAGAGGCGGGGGAGGGTGTAACCAGTAAAGGTGCCCACAGCCAATGATACGAAGAACATGATTCCCCAAACTTGGTGGCGTGTACAGGGAAGGAACCTTCCCACCCAGAGTCTCTTTCTCTCTTTCCTTGGAGCCCATGAGGTGCCAGCCACGTTAAACACATCCTGCTACCTCAGTCTAGTCTCGGAGCACAGGTCCAACACATTTTTCCAACAGGCTCCAGCCTTGCATGTCTTTGGCCCTGGCTCATCTGTCCAGACCACCCAGTATAGTTGGGCGAACTCCTCTACTTCTTCCATGGCCCTGCTCAAACGCTCACCCCGAGAGGCCTTCCCAGCCTCCCACCCCTGGCAGTTGATCATATCCTTATCTGACTTCCAGGCCACAGCACACACTTCCTTGAGGACAAGAATGGTAAAGTTTGTCACCTTACTGTCGCCCCCAGGACTGGCGCACAGAAAAGGAGATGCTCAATGAGACTTCAGCCAGTGAACGGCGTCCGTGCCTGTCTCTCCACCTATTGAGGCCCCGTCAAGAGGCCACCCCGTCCTGTGGTAACTAGCCTCCCCTCCCACAAGATGCCCAAAGGACTTGCAGTGGTGATCGCGCCCGTCCCTACTGGTCGACATGGCACCCATTCTCTGTGCACACGGACCATAAGCTCCGATAGGGCAGGAACCCTTCTCAGCTCCGTCAACTCAGTGCCCATGATCCCTCATGGCTGCACGTCTCTCCCACCTGAGAAGACGGGACAAAATACAAGTATGGGAGGCCCTAACCTGGGGACTGCATGGAAGAGGTGGCATCTGAAATGGGTATGAGCACTGGCTTGGTCCCAACAGCTCCAACTCCGAAGCTGGGTGTACCTCTCTCCCATATGACCACAGACAGGTACCTTGACCTCTATGGCCGCAGTTGGGCTTTCTTTCCCACCACTCCTCCAAAATAGCTCTGGTCAAGGTCACCAATGTTAAACCCAGTGGTTAGCTCTTCAACTTAGTCATCTGACACATTGCGTCTTCCATCTTGATTTCTGTTACTTAGCCTCCAAGGCACCTTACTTCACTGGGGTTCTTCTCTTACTTCACTGGGGTTCTTTTTTGGGCACCTGGGTCAGATCCTTCTCCAGAAGAGAATTCGTCTTCTCACCAAGGCCTCCTGTGCCATCCCATAGAAAGCTGCCACCTGCCCCACCTGTGCCCTCAACGGCCCTCGCCGCTCCATGTCCTCCAGAGCACACAATGCTGCCTGACATCACACGTGCCTGACTTGCTGTGGCTCCTCAAGACACTGTAGGTCCACGACAGCATGAATTTTTGATCCTTCACACCTGTATCTCCAGCACGCAGCACAGTGCCTGTCCTTCAATAATGCCTGATGAGGAATGACTCAATCTCCAAACTGGAATCAGGGGAGTGCTCCACAACTCAGTCCTTGGATCTCTTCTCTGTTTACCTCCTTCCTCTGAGGCTCTTGACCCAAGGCCCACCTGCTGACAGCTCCCATGGTTATACCTCTAGCCAGACTTGCCCAGGAAATTGAGATTCACATGTCTAACTTCCCCTCTGAACTCTGCTCGAACGTGTCATAGACATCTCAAATTTGCCAGGTTCGGATCCTAATTCCCCATCTCCCACAAGCCTGCACCCCAGCCTTCCCACCTCAGTAAAAGAGAAGCCCATCCTTCCAGTTGCTCAGGCCAAAAATCTTGAATTCATCCTTTTTCCTCTCCCCATGTCTTTCAAGAAGTTTCTACTTCAGGACCTTTGTATTTGTTATTCTACCTACTTAAAATACTTAACCTCTAATTATCTACAAAGTTCCCCCCTCACTTCCTTTGGGTCTGTGCTCAAAATTCACCTTATTAGAGAAGTCTTTCCTGACCACTTGATATTCCAAATAAAACATTCTCAGTTCTTTTTCTCCTTACTTTTTTTTCTTCCTTACTTTGATTTAGTGCTCTCTGAACCATCTATCACCACCAGATATCCTATACATTTATTTATGTGTGTCTATCTTTGGTTATTAGTATACACACACATGTTCCGGAAGAGCAGAGTTTCATCTTTGTAGCAATTAGCACACCCAGCCTAAAAGTGCCTGACATATAGGGGATGCCCCCCAAAACACCTGTTGAATGATTAACCTCTTTGGGGAAGAAAGATGCTCTTGCAAGGTTGTTGAGAAGATTAACTGAGCCAGCCTGGCACTGAGCACTCAATTATCACTAGCAGAAGTAGGGAAAGATCCTCTCTGTTGGACTGAAAGCTCTGAGAAGGGTAGTGGCCTTTATTTCCCTCACTTATTTAATAGCCCCTAAGATTCCAAAAAGGATGAGAGGCAGTGCAGGGAGACGTTATGTTCTGCTGAGGCTAAATGAATGGCCTTGCTCTCAGCTTCTTTTGAGTATTGTCCCCCACTAAGGGGAGAGGTATCCAGGAATGAAAAGATACGCATCTTGATGAATATTAAGTCTTCTATTAAGGTGGCCCTTTGTTTTTTTATGATTTGCAAGACCCTGAGGACTGAAGAAACTGGGAAGGGAGGAGGAGGAAAGCGAGTGCTCTGATTATTCCTCAAATCCTCTCCCCAAGCCTCCTTCTAGAGTGGCTGAAGGTGCCCTCGGCAAGCACCTCTTTTCCAATACTGGATGCTGTGTGCAATCAGTTTCACCCCTCAAGCGCTACAATCTGACACCTGTGGCTTATCCAAGTGCAAGGCCTGGGGATAATGGGGAGAGCGCAGAAAAAGCTTTATGCATGGAGGGCCCTTAAAATCCTCCTCTTGGTGGGCTGCAGCGACGCCTGCCTCCATCCACGGAAAAGCTCGGGACACCACAGTGCGGGGCCCAGCCTCAGGCCCCGAGGCCTCGCCGCCCCTCAGCCTGCCTCTGCCTTCGCGGGGCGGGGGACTGGCCAGCGTCACCTCGAAGCAGTCGTGCTGGGCCTGGGCGAGGGGGCGCTAGGGCACCGGAAGATCCGGAGCGCGCGGGGCGTGGATCGAAGGCTCCAGACCCTGGGCGGGGGAGGGGGGAATTCGGGGAGGCCAGAGATTCCAAACCCTGGTGGGGGTGGAGCCAGAGCGTGCCCGGGCCCCAGACAGAAGGGGAAAGGGGGGCGCCTGGGCCCCAGACTCTTGGGCCCCAGATTAGAGGTGGGGGAGGGGGTACCCGGGCCCCCAACTGAGGAGGGGAAGCCCAAGCCCCGGACTGTGACGCGGAAGTGGGATCCCCTCCCATCCTCACCTCTGAGCATCGGCTCGGGCCGCGGAATTACGGCCACCACCATGGCTTCCTCCTCGTCCTCCCCTTCCTCGCATTTGAGCGTCACCTCGAAGCAGTCGAGCGCTGCGCCCTCGGCCTTCAGGGCCATGGCGCGGACAGGGGAATCTCGGTGACCGGACGCTGGAGGACGGGCGC